GAGGTGGGGGATGTGGCATATGCGGGGAGAGGGGAGCAGAGTGCAGGCTTATCATGTTGGCTATGAATGTGTGGCAAGATATGAGTTGATGCTGGGGTTGGTACTTCAGAATACCCAGACTTGGTCCTCTGAACAGTGTGGTTTCTTTGTTAGATGCATGAGTTTTAGACAAGTGGAATGGTTGGGCTACGTCACTTTTGAACCCTGAGATCCTGTGATTGGTTCTGGGGCGAGAGGGGTCTATATTTGCTACTGGCTGGGTCTTAACCTTGGGCACTGCTGTCTCATGTCCCTGTCTCTTGCCTGGCTCAGATTCTTGCCATTGGTTGGATTGGTAGCAGGCAGTGCTGGACAGCAGGAGGAAGTTGAGGGGAACGTGGGCGCTCCCTTCTGGCCAGGGTGGGCGGGGAGAGGCTGGCATCTGCTGTGTTCCTGCAGAACAGGAAGGATGAGATGTGGGATGTGGGATGTGCTGTTCCCTGACACCCCAGTGCACATGGCTGTAAGGCTGTGGAAGCTGCCAGTTGTTGTGGAAAGAATAGAAGTATGGAAGGAACCAGAAATCAGCTGGCTGTGACCAGCCTTGATTTGTTGCTCCGGGAGGTACAAGGAACCCCCTGGAACCCCCTCCCATCAGCAGCCATTAGATGAATTAGGGCAGCAAATGGTGCTGATACAAGAGCCTGGACCCAGTCCATGATGAACTTCCCCAAGGTTTCTATCTGAAATATTTAAGTCAGATTCACCCCTGGTCAGTCTGAAGCCCTGTGTGGAATGGGGATTATCCTGCAAGAAACTATGGCAAACACTTTAAATATATGATAAGGAGAGAAAAGAATATAGAGGAGCCACATGCAGCTTCTATAATTACCAACCTCTAGCCAATCCTATTTCTTCCTTATATACTCCCACCCGCAGCTCTTCCTTCTGCATCTAGCTAGGTTTCTGTTAGTGAAATGAGCTCCCTTCCCATAGCTTAGTTCACTTCTTCCCCTCTCCACAGCTTAGCATGCTCCCTTCCTAGGCAACACTAGGCCCATTTAGCAAAGGCAGTATAATAATCAGCCTCCAACCCCCTTTGCCTTGGGATGACACTTCTCTGGGGCCATATAAGGCCCCACCATATAAGGCAACAAGAGCCCCTTAGAGTGACCTTCAGGTCTGGGCAGCTGCAGGGCCTCTTATCTACTATTTGGGCAGCAGCCATAAATCCTAGTCCACCATGATGGAGCCCCTGGACCACATGTCCACACCAGGGTCTCTACCTCCTAGCCCTTCTAGCCCCTCCTAAACTTCTAGGTTATATAGGTCACCTCAGATAATAGCCAGCGCTACTTCTCACTTCTCCCTTGTGAGAAGGGGTCTTGCTGTCCTCTTTCCTGGCAATAAACCTTCCTTTGTTCTCTGTACCTAGATATCTGCGTGGTTCTCTGGCAAAGTCTAATTTTATCCTATCAGTTTCCTTTCTTTTCTTTCTTTTAAAATTTTGGTGGTACTGGGGTTTGAACTCAGGGTCTTACTTTGCTTAGTTTGCTTGCTAGCCTGGTACTGTGCCAATTCAGCCATGCCAGTCCAGCTTTTTGCTGTTGGTTGAAGATGGAGTTTAATGAACTTTTCTGCCCAGGGCTGTCTTCAAACCTTCATTCTCTAAATCTTAGCCTCCTGAGTAGCTAAGATGATAAGCATGAGGTACCGGCACTTGGCCTAGTTGTGTTTTGTAGCAAGTAATAGCTTGCTGTATTATTTTATTATTTATTTGTTTGTTTATTCCAGCTTCAGCCTCCTGAATGCTGGAACTATAAGTATGAACTGCCACACTCAACCTGCAGCTAAGACTTTTTAATTTTTAAATAGTTTGCCTTTAATCTCAGAATAGTGCAAGAGAGAAGAAAAACAGTTTGAACTTTGTCTTTTCTAATGTCCCCCTCCCCAACCCCAAGCCAAGTTAATATGTTGGCTCTACAACATATTAACAGCTACCCAAGCCATCTACCAATACAGCTGCAGGTCTCCTTGGCTTTCCCGACTGCTCAATTTTCTCAGATTTCTCTAAGGCTAAATACATACCATGAATCTTTATAACATATATTGTTGAGGGAAATCATCCAATATTAAACTAATGATGGCTCAGGCTGTACATGAAATCTTTGGAACTGAGTCAAAAGTGATGTCTCATATGTTTGACACATGCTTAGATCTGTGAAAAGCTGACCCTCAAGGCTGGCGTTGGGTTCATACAGTATTTTACTAGCATGTGTGAAGCCTTGGATTTGATCCCCATCACTGCAAAAGAAAACAAAATGAAAACTAATCCAGCAGAATTGAGTTCAGTGGAAATAGCAGAAAGCTATGACACAAGCTGGTAAAATTTGATATGGATCAACAACTCATTTCCTGAAGCCTCCTTGTTGCTCTGTAATTGCTTTGACCCAGCGCTGGGGCCGTAGCCACACAGCCACTGGCTCTGACTAAGCCCCAGAGAATCTCTTTAGGTTCATATGGAAAAGGCATTTAGTGGGTGAGGAAGCATGCAGAGGGCCTGTTCCTTGAGTGAGGGCATAGTTTTGTTTATCTGTCAGCTGTGGGGCTTGAACTTTGCCTGAGTGCTGTCCCTGAGCACTTTCGTTTGGGCTAGTGCTCTACCGCCATGAAACCTGTGGGCATAGTTTTCATTCAGGTAACATATTAATACCATGTCCTAGGGCCTTTGTTAGGGTTTGAAGGGTTAAACTCCAGAGATTTCTAGGTGATAAGAACTAGAGGACTTGGGGCTGGGAAGGTGGCTCAGTGGTAGAGTGCTTGCCTTGCATGCCTGAGGCCCTGGGTTCGATTCCTCAGCACCACATAAGCAAAAAGAAAAAAGCCGGAAGTGGTGCTGTGGCTCAAGTGGTAGAGCGCTAGCCTTGAGGTGAAGAGCTGAGGGACAGTGCCCAGGCCCAGAGTTCAGTCCCCATGACCGGACCCAAAAAATAAAAATAAAAAAAAAAAGAACTAGAGGACTTGTTCAAAGCCTTGGATTTGAACCCCAGAACTACTGGATGGATGGATGGATGGATGGATGGATGGATGGATGGATGGATGGATGGATGGACGGACGGACTAGACAGCCACCTCTCTCTGGAATTGCTAAATTAGCTTCTGCCATTGGAGATCATATATCATCATGGCACATGGCTACTCTTGAGTGCCACCATGTTTTTGTAGCCTGGGCCCAGGCCTGTGGATACCCCTCTCAGGATTCTTCCCTAGAGAACTTGAGAAACTTGCTCTTTCCCTCCCTCGCCTCCCATAATAGCACTCTGTATCTCTGTTGCTTGTCACAGTCTGCCTTGTATTAGACTTTGTGATAAAAATGTTGTTCTACCTGGAAAGAAGGCCCTCCAGAGCTTGAGCCTCCAGAAGGCCCTGATAGTAGAATGGACTGTGTCCTGTTTGGTGAGAGGGTGGTATGAAATGTGAGGTCTCCAGCATGTACTTCAAAAGTCCCAGTCTATCCATTATCCAGTTCCCAAACTGTTTTCATACTTTTAGGTGGTGTTAACAGCAGCACCATACATCTTGGTGTGTGTCTGTCTTTGTCTAGTCAAACTGTTATAACAAAAGCCAGGTGATTTAAGCAGCAGACACTGGTTTCTCACATCTCTGGAGGTAGTCTGGCAAGGGTCTTGCCTGGACTCTCACTGTGGATTTGTGGCCCATTTGAGTTGGGGGAGTGTGATCTCTTTTCCTCTTCTGCTGAGGGCACTAATCCCCTCCTGAGGGCCCTGCCCTCAAGACCTCATCTAACTCCCGCTATTTCCCAAAGCGCCACCACCGCCCCCACCTCCTAATGCAATCACTTCAAAAGGAGGCTTCAATAAGGTAAATACTTTGGAGGGGATACAACATTCATTCTGCAGCAGGAGCCCTCCTGAAGGTATCAGCTTTTGTGCTCAAGGCTAGCCCTCCACCACTTGAGCCACAGCTCCATTTCCAGCTTTTGGGTGGTTAATTGGAGTCTCATGGTCTTTCCTGCATGAGCTGGCTTTGAACCATGATCCTCAGATCTCAGCCTCCTTATTGATTGGATGTGTGTGTGAGTGATAGGGGCTGACAGGAGCGAAGGCTTCTGATGCTTCCATTCAGGAGAGAAGGATTGTGGGCATTTCAGAAACTCTCCAGGGATTCGCAGAAGCATGTTGTGTGAGGCCACCTCATATAGGCTGCTTTTCCTCCTAACCAAATGTTGGTTTCCTCATTTGGCACTCATTAGATTTCATAGTGACGGTAGGAGGAGGTGCAAGACCATGCATGGCACATGTGCAGCATCTGTTTTTGCTTGAAGAAAGAAGTTCAAAGCTTTAAGAGGTTCCTGCCTGTAATCCTAGCTACTCAGGAGTCTGAGATCTGAGGATTAAGGTTTAAAGCCAGCCCTGGCAGGAAAGACCATGTTACTTTCATCTCCAATTAACCATCAGGTGGTAGAGTGCTAGACTTGAGAAGACTAGCTAGGGGACAGTGTCCATGCCTGAATTCAAGCCTCAGTGCCATTGCAAAAAAACGGAGGAGGGGGGAGGAAGAGAAAGGAAAGCAAAGCAAGAAGGAAAGAAGGGGGGATAAGGAAGGAAGGAAGAGGAAGGGATAGAGGGAGGGAGGGGGAAAAAGGGCTCAGAATTCAAACAGGAGCTCTGGTTTGGGGGAGGCAGGGAGTTTACTCTTGTGTTGCTGAATTACAATTTCCAGATTTCCTGAAAAGTAAAAGCAAATACAGATCCCACTTTAGAAAATGTTAGGCTCCCATGGGATGAATTACTCTCTCAGAGCTGGTCTGACACGGTGGGAGTCTGTGGTGAAGTGTGCTTTACTCCTGTGCCCTTCTGGGCAGATGGAGGCAAGAGTAGAGAGGCAGAGCCAGACAGGGTGTATCTTAGTCCTTGGCTTTTGTGGAAGGAGGGGGGTAGGGTGGCCTGCATGGAGCCCCGACATTGCCTGAGGTCTCACAGGGATCTTTTCTCACACAGGCTCAGCTGGAGGCTCAGAAAGCCACACAGGACTTCCAGAGGGCCACTGAGGTTCTCCGTGCTGCCAAGGAAACCATCTCCCTGGCCGAGCAGCGGCTGTTGGAGGATGACAAGCGGCAGTTCGACTCTGCCTGGCAGGAGATGCTGAATCACGCCACCCAGAGGGTAAGAGTGATTGTGTGTGTATGCACGTATGCACGCACGTGTGTGTGCATGTGCATGTGCATGCACTTCTGCTCTTACACGGTGATTCCTTCTAAGCCATGATAACAGACTCCCAGGAAGCCCCAGAAAGCTCTCTAAAGGCCCAGGTGTCTGTTCCATGTGATTAGGTGCAGCTCTAAGCCATACTGGGGTGGAGGGATGGTGACACTCTTTTTCCCATATGGTCTGAAGTTTGCGCAGTTCACGGAAGTGCTGGCAGTGGACGTTGGCTTCCCCGAGAGCTCAGGATGTTCTCCAGCATCTGCCTTTACTGATCCCTGGAGAACAGTCTGGATTTGGCATCCCAAGGGTACATCCTTGATCAACAGTCTCCACCTGCTCTGGGGTCAGAGGAAGGCAGGAGTCATGATAGAGCAGACCAGAATCAAGTGGACACTTAGGCCTGGCCTCCAGGGTACCACCATATGGTGGGAATGTGTGTTTGTTTTTCATGCATGTACTGGGGCTTGAACTCAGCCTAGGTGTTGTCTCTGAGCTTTTTTGCTCAATGCTAGTGCTCTACCATTTGAGCTGTAGCTCCATTTCCAGCTTTTTGGTGGTTAATTGGAGATAGGAGTCTCTGAGAGTTTTCTGTCTGGACTGGCTTTGATCCAGGATCCTTAGATCTACTCAGACTCCTGAGTAGGTAGGATTACAGGAGTGAGCCACTGGCACCTGGCTTTGTAGTGGGAAGTAGTAAAGCTATCTTTATCCAGTATGTGGATCACTGGGTTTTGCGTCATTAATATTTGGCTCTTTACCAGCCCCCACCCAGGATCTCCTCAGAATCAGAAGCGAAACTGTCTTAGTTGATCTGTTTGGTCAGCTGTGACAAAATGCCAGAAACCACATTGCTTATAAACCACAGAAAATTATTTGGATTATAAAATTCTTGCTTTAATAAAATTCCTTAAACAGTGAAAAAGGAAAAGAAAAGAAAATTATTCCTCACATTTCTGGAGGTGAAAGATACAATGTGAGATGTGGGGAGCCCTGGCCCATAGGGGGCAGTCTTCTCGCCATGGCCTATGCTGTGCAGGGCTCACGAGCATTTTGGAGCCTTTTTTATAAAGGGCACAGGTCCCACCTGTGTGACCTAATTCCCTTTAAATTGCATCCTACTAGGGAGTAGGTTTCAGTAGATGAGTTGGACCCTAGCAAGCAGGGCAGTTGCCAAGTAGGACTTGGTTTCCCCACCTAACTGGGTTTCCTTAGAGTCATATAGAAGAGGTCCCTTCTCTCAGGTCCAATACCCCTGGCACCAGCCTGGCCCTTTTGTGGCTTCTTCCCTCTCTGCTGAGGCATAAGGGATCATGGTGTAGGAGTGGCTTGCTGTAGGGAAGCTGCACTTGGGGTGTAGGAACTCTGACCATGGCCCTTCCTGGATGAAGATTGCCGGGGAGGGCTCACAGTTCAGGTCCTGGTGACTACTTGAGAGACTATATGTAGGACTGGAATTGAAGAGCTAAGAGTTAATGCCAAGGGCCTCTCCCTTTTCAGAGTCATCTGCCACAGTGGCTCATGCCCTGTGGGATCTGATGATTAAAGATGGCCTTGAATAGCTTTAAATAGAAAGCTGACATAGAAAGGAGTCAAATCTAACATGACTTTACCCTGCCTCCACCAACCCTGAAGACAGGCTGGGCTGTGTGTGGCCTTGAGCTTCTTGCCCCTAGTGGACTCCATTGTTCACAGACCTAAACTCAGGCTGGGAAAAGTGTTGGGTCAGCTCAAGGAGAGAATCAAGTTAGGGTTGGAAATCTCAAAATTTCATAAGCCAAAGCCTGTCACAGAAAATAAAAACAGCTAGGTGCTGGTGGCTCACACCTGTAAGCCTAGCTACTCAGGAGGCTGAGATTTGAGGATTGCAGTTTGAAGCTAGCCTGTGCAGGAGAGTCTGTGAGATTCTTATCTCCAATTAACACCAACTCCAAAAAATCGAAGTGGAGGTGTGACTTAAAGTGATGCACCAGGTTTGAGAAAAAAAAAAAAATCCCAACTACAAAGTTAACAAGGCTTAAGAAACAAAGGACTTCCTCTTATCTGGTCAAATCCTAAATAACCCCATGCTGCTGTTCACATATATGGTATATAAGTGTACACTGGAGGGAAACCAGGAGGAGGACACAGAACTAGAGGGAATCAGGGAAAAACATACAACAGCGGGGACCCATCAGCTGCACTGGGCATTGATCAAAATGAACTAAGCAACTTATAGTAGCGATAGGAGGGAGGGAACGAGAGGGAACAGCTGATGCTATGCAAAACAACAGAAATGTACATATCACCCAATGTGGAAGAAATAACTGTATTGCAAAGCTCATAGAACTCACAAATGTTATAGAGCACGATAGACAATTTGCCCCATGAAAGTTAGAATGTGTTTGTGACTTAAACTAAGCATCACTATCCCACAATACTGTGAAATTTGGGGAATTATGTAATCACTTAATCACAATAAAGAATTTGAAAAAAAAAATCCCAGGCCCCATGACAGACATAAATAAAAGCAAAAAAGTAAAACAAGAAAACCTTCCAGCTGAAGATCTGTATCAGACTATAGAGGAAGTCATTTCAGCAATCACTGACTCTTACCACATATGTTGGTGCGTTCTAGAATGCAGCAGTTAGAAAATAGAAGCAGGAAGATCACAAGATCCAGACTCACTTGGGCTTCATAGGAAAAGTAAAAGAAATCATTGAGTCTGCTCCTTAGAAAAGAAAGAATGGCTCATGCTTATAATCCTAGCTACTCAGGATCTGAGGATGGTTGGTTGAAGCCAGCCCAGGTAGGAAAGTCCATGAGACTCTTACTTCCAATTAACCACCAAAAAGCCAAAAGTAGAGTTGTGGCTTGAGCATAGAAAGAAAAAAAAAAGAAATGAAACATGATTATTCTAAAGACGTAAGTCTTTTTTTAGCTGTGAGGCTATGGTAGATGATGGATAGCTGCTCGGGAAGAGGTGTCCATCCTCAGCTTCATACAACTCCAGGGGCACCATTCAAACTAATCTTTGGAAATAACATTCTTTGGACTTGTGTAGTGAACACAATGTAGAACAACACATCCTGGACTTGCTGAAGTCACGTGGGAGGAACATGTGATGTGTACCTGTCACTTGGGTTTCTTGCTGGGCCTTGGGGGTGGGGAGGGGGAGTATGTCAATCTGTGCTGATTAGCAGAGGTTCTGTGGCACAAGCTGGGATTTCCACCCAAGGCTGATGTTTCTTTTCGGATTCTTTTCATGGTTGTATATTTAGGCCTAGAATGCTTTTATTTGATTTGCTGAGTTCAGAAATTATTTTCTCAGGCTGGAGGATGTAGCTCAGTAGTAGAGCAAGTGCCAAGAATTCATAAGGCCCTGAGTTTGACACCAGCCATGGAAAAAAAAAATCAAGAACTTGAGACAAAGCTCATAGCAAAGTTTTCCCATTCCATGCCTCACGATAGTTCATAACCAACCTCTAAAACAGACCTCACTTCTTCCTGCCAGCCAGAAGTTTGACTTGTTGTTATTTGTTTACGTGCCAGTACTGAGACTTGAATTCAGGGCCTAGCACTCTTGCTTGGCTTTTTCACTCAAGGTTGGTTCTCTACCACTTGAGCTATAGTTCTGCTTCCAGCCTTTTGCAAGTTAATTGGAAGTAAGAGTCTGTCAGATGTGTCTGCTCAGACTGACTCCTAATCTCAACCTGACCCTCAGATCTCAGCCTTCTGAGCAGCTAGGATTACCGGCATGAGCCACCAACACCTGGTTTCAAGTTGGCACTGAAATGGCATGACAGGGACTAGTGAACCTGTCTCTGGGTTGAGCATTTGCCCAAATGGAGCTCATGTCAGCCACTTCCAAGCTCGGAGGCGTGGCTGGCTGAAAGCTGCCTGAAGTATCTCCGACCGTGTCTGACTTCTGAATATTCTAGCGTACTTGTTTATGGGAAGGGAGCTTCCCATCACCCTCTCCTTCCATGTCGCCACATGTTCCTCACTCAGGGTCATCCACGGGTCCCTTCTTATTCCCTCCAGACTTCCTACAGTGACACTGGGTGACAACATCTGGAGTCTTGGCTGTAGACAGCGGGAGCCCCGTGTTCTCTCATAGGCCACATGTAACAACACACAGGGCCAAAACGCAGGCTTTTCCTCAGTGCTTCTCCTGTCTGGAAGCCGCTTCACGTGGAGCTGCTAAGCCTGCATCCCAGCAGATTCCCGTGGGTGCAGGACTCAGGTCCCTGCTGCTCACCCACGAGAGGATTGAGAATCGGAGGTCTCTCCAGCTTTGCCTGCTTTGGAGAAGGTGATGGCTTTTTATTCTCTTGAGTCAGGAGGGCTGGCAGCCTGTGAGGGAGGACTTGGCTTTTCTAATGTCTGCAAGGGACCAGCTGGAGGAGAGGGCAATGTGGCTTAGAGAGAGGGAGGCAGCCCCTGTTTAGGAGTGGTCCGCATACAACCTGCATCTCTGCCCTAGTCCCAGGGTTGGCATGAGGCCTGGGATGGTGTAAGAGTAGTTACTTAGCATAGATGCTCTGATAGGGTTGTGAGGGGCCCACCTTCTGGAGTGTGTCTGGCACACAGGGGTAGACACAGAAAGAATCAGAAACTGTCTGAGTTGGTCAGTAAGGCCGGGAGGACATGGTGAGGCTTTCCTGCCTGAAAGAGGGGACTTGGGCTTAGCTTTGTGTATTCAGATGTTGGAGCAGAACTGAGAACAGAAGGCTTTGGGTTGGCCAGCAGCTGAGTGAGCCAGAACAGAAGTGAACAAGTATGTGGTGTGTGTTCAGGCCCTTTTCTGCATGGGACCCAGCAGGAAGATTGAGCCACATCAGGCTGTGGGATACTTGTCTTCTGTGGACTGCTGTGAGCAGAGGTTGGGGCTCAGTAGTCACTCTGGGGTCCTGAGTCTTGGGCCCCATCCAGCTGTGTGTGGAAGGGCCATCAGCCATTTTCATTCTCAGTTGTCAAT